AGAAAGAGAGAAGAGAGAGAGAAGAAAAAGTAGGAGGGGAAAGGGGAGGGGAGGGGAAGGGGGGGGTGGAGTGTCACGGACGGGACCGGACGACCGGGACTCAAACGGTGAGTTGGATTCTACCTCCTCTTCAGGGCGGCGGGAGGCGGCGGGTGGAGCTTACAGGGAGGACAGGCTGGGACTGAAGCCGCCGCGGGGGACCAGGAGCCCGGTGCGCTGCTGCCGCTGTGACCGCTGACAGCACCGACATGGAGCTGGAGAACATCGTGGCCAACACGGTGCTGCTGAAGGCTCGAGAAGGTAAGGATGGGGACAGCTCCTCTCCCCCCCCCGGTACCGGAGACAAGAGGGGTCCACCGGACATGGTGAACCGCTCCATGTTCGATACCAACAGGAGCTCACATACCCACCGTTCTCTGTACCGAACTCCCACTACAACTTTAGCTTCTTCAGGTTTTCTGCTTCCTCCCGGAGCTTAAACACAAGTTACTCACGATCGGAAACACAAACACAACTTTTTAACAAATACTTAACAATTCGGCGTAAAACTTGTTTTCGTGAATCTTCCTTTTTTCATGTTGCGCGTAATAAACCGTCAATAACACGTTGTATTCACCTCTAAAGGAAATTGTGTTTAAAGTGGCAGAGAAGACGAGGAGCCAGCAGTTTATGGTTGTTAAATATTTATTGTAATGAATCATAGGTTATATGTTTTATGCCGAATTAAAGAGCAGATCCTGAGCTCATGTGAACTAATGTGTGAGTTGTGTAGAGTGAACACATACGAAGGAAAACAGAGGGTAAAGTAAAATTGGCAGGTTTTTATATGGAGTTCTGCTGAAAGTAGGCAGTGGGGATGAGGAGCTAGCAGGTGATTGTCAAGAACAACAGTTTACTGGTTTATGCCAAATTAAAGAGTGGCTCCAGTGCTCTGTTGAACTGCTTTGTGACTCGTGTACAGTGAACACATGCTGAGGACGCCAGAGTGGGGAATAAAATCGACAGTTTTTTAAACGGAGTCTGGTCCAGAGGAGGCTCCCCCCCCTGTTGCAGCATCGTTCTATCGAAACAGGATGTAGAGGCAGAGCAGTTGTTGCACTGAAGTGTGAGTGTGTGTGTGTGTGTGTGTGGGCGCACAAGTCCTCTTCAACTGGAACCCTCAGATTCATGTCTGAAACACATCCAGTGTAACACCCAGTGTCCGATCAGTGTGAGGGTCAGTTTGTTGTTGTGAACAGGAGCAAGGTGTCATGTCTCCCAGCTCCAGGCCGACCTTGACCTCTGAGCCCTCCGGAGCCTTGAGAAAAGATGCTCTATTGTCAACACAAATTGAAATGAACTTGCTTGAGTCAGAGCTTGTTTCAGAGCTTCAGACTCTTCAGCTCAGTCTGAAGTCCACAAACCACTTCTGGAGTCTGAGGGATGAACAGTGTTGAAGAATTCAAATGAGCTTGATAACGACGTCATGTACACCAAGTTTTCAGCCTAAATGTGATCCACGGGTGAATGCAACAGACATTTAAGATGATGACATTTCACATGGTGTAAACAACACTGGCAGAGATTTTCTAATCGCTGTCACTATTGTCTGATGTATAGAGTCATAAAAAATTCTCTGCAAAAAACCTCTGGCTCCAGTATGTCAACACATATCAATATAACAAATGAGCAGGGGAAGGTTTAGTGCTACAACGATTAATTCAACATTTGACCTAATTCACCTGTGGTGTTATAACCACAGACTGTAAGTAAAGATGGACGTCTCCACTTCCTCACACGATCCAGAAATGAAGCCAAAGTATCTCGGATACGAACGGTGTCATCGCATCTCATCAGCTCTGAGACGTCACCTCTGACCTGTGATGTCTGATGAGTTCTTCTTCTTCTGTGGCTGGAAGCCAATCACACACGTTTATCATTAAATAGATAGATGGATAGATACTTTATTGATCCCGAAGGAAATTCAAGAAAAGAAAAAGAAAAATGGAGAATCTTTGAGATTCTCGTGTCGTTTGTCTTGATTGAAACATTCCTGTGATTCATTAGTCGTCTCGTTTTCTCTGTCATCAATTTGCTTATCCGCGATTCTGTTTCCTGGATACAAACAAAACATCTTGTTTGCATCGTATCTGTGTCGTTAATAATCTTTTGTCTGGAGCTGCAGCTGCTGTGTCGTATTTGCATTGCAAATCCTGGAGCGCAGCGTTGGTTCTGTGCTCGTCAGGCTGGACGCCCTGTGGGCTGCTGCTGTATTCACAACGCTCTGTTATCAATAAACAGTGGGACAGCGTCCACGCTGTGTCTCTGAATGTCTGATCCTGCAGCTTCACTGAGGGAAACAGGTCCCAGAGAAACGTCCAAGTTTGAATTTTGTAGAACTGACAGAGACTCTGGTCAGTGTCTAAAGGACAAGCAGCAGAATTTGAATTTAAGGGACTGTTGGGTTGTGGTGAAGGTTTGAGCTCTAATCAATACATATATTAATTAATAAATACAGTTGACATTCAAAGACTCATGCTTTGTTTTATGTTTAAATCCATGACGTTGTCATATCTTCAGACATTTGACTCCTCCACTCCCAACTATGTGTTTTATGCCATTCTAGTTTTCATTGTCGTTGAATCTGTCCATGATCATTATTATTGTGTTTATTATATTCACGCTGGTCTCTGTTAGTTTCATGAGAAGTAAATCAACGTGTTGGGACCTGAAACGTTCTCCAGGTTTTTACGGCAGCGAGATGCATGAGTGTGCAGCAGAGTCTGAGCGCTGACTCAGAACCAACAGGCACTTCCTCTGGTTTCACACACAAACAAACACACACACACACACACACACAAACACACCCACACACAGAAAGTACATGATTTTAGTCTCATTATTTGGATCCTGAACCCAAAACCATGTTGGAATTCTAAAAAAAAAACATACAGTAAAACATTTAAATTTATATTTTTCCCCTCAGGTGAGAAATTTGTCCTTGCGCCTGATTATCTGTTCACACTGACTTGTTTTTCCAGTCAGTTTAAATCGAACCTGTTTGTTTTGCAGGAGGCGACGGAAACAGAAAAGGAAAAAGCAAGAAATGGAAGCAGATGCTGCAGTTTCCCCACATCAGTTTGTGTGAAGAGCTGCGACAGACCACAGGTAAGAAAACAGTCTCACAGGTTTTATGTGACTCCTCATGTGGAGCGACTCTGGGGCCGGTTGTATCCATGGTGATAAGGTTGTTGCTCTGTCTGAACAGGCCCTCTGCTGAAACACACCAGACTTTTAAATCGGCAGGATCTTTGTGTTCAGGTCCCGATAACGTCTGGTTAGTGTTCATTTAACATGTAAAGTGAGCTCAGATGTGAGGACATGCAGCAGAGGGACACAGGACGGTACCAACCCGTGTCTGTCCCAATCCTGAAGCAGCAACAGGCCGCTGCTGCAAAATAAACATAACAGAAACAATTCAAGTGAAAGAAATTCTCTCAAAGTGTTCTTGACACATCCTGTTGGCAAGAAATGGATGGACGTACCAATGTGCGTTGTTTAGCAGAACTAAACTGGAATTTCAGGGATGACTTCACCGACCAAACCACTAACAGGATGTGAGTGCGGACCTCTGACGTCCACCTCGTTCATTCACTAAAACACCAAACATCATGTGCTGAAATACAAGATCTCTCCGGAGAAACAAATGAAAATGATTTGAACACGACTTCTATTAGACGGGCTTGTAATTAAATGTCAAGCAGGTGACAATAGACAAGGTGGAATCATGAGGTAGAACAAGAGAAATAGTGCATTAATTCTGCGTTGCAGCATGTGGCTCCAATTAATCACCTCGACGTGAAGACCCACTGAGCAGAATCAGAAAAAATAGTTTCGTCAAACAGTGTTGGACACAAGCGATGCACTGTTTCAGAACGATTTCTCATGCTCAACTTTCAACACCACGGCAACACTGTGTCACGTGTAATTCTTTCAAAGCCAAGCAGCTCCAATCGTCCTAACTTGACTCTTTTCATATCGTGCGCCGCGTCGATCCCGCCGCTGTACAGTCAGAGGCGTGACGACTCTGCACGAGGACCAGGGGAGAAGAAATGGTTCAGAAAATGTTGCTCAAGTGGCACCTCAGCGGAAACTGTGGCCAATGCAGAAAGAGGAAGTAGACTGTTGTTGATTTTCTGTTTCAACCCGCAGTAAGGTTTGTTTCATTTAAACAGGTGTCGCAGGCAGGAGAGTGAAAGTTGAGCGACAAGACGAGGGAAGAAGTTTTCTCTGAAAAAAGATCCCATCTTTAAAAATCTGAATTTAAACTGAGGGATTTGAAATAGTTTGTTGACAAAGAGAGGTGGTGGGTGAGAATAATAGAATGTGCTTTGGTCACATGTAAGTAATTCACACAACACCAGACTTGAATGATGAAACAGATGCAAAGAAATGAGTTCACGTTGTTGTTTGTGTTTCTCATGTGAAGAGGAAGCAGCAGGAGATCGTTCAGGTCAGACTCGTTCACAACAACAGGAACGTGTCCAGAAAGTTCCAGAAAATGTTCAGAGCCACTGATGTGGTGGTTTGCGTTCTCTCGTACAGCCCCTCCAGAAAATGTTTAGACTCCGATGCAGGTGTGAAAGCTCGTTCAGAGACAGATGCTGTTTTACAAACTATTGTCTGGTACAAAGTGAAGCTGGTGCAGGTTTGTGTCTGAGCCTCGGGCTACCGGATCAATCGGTAGCCTCTAGTGTGCAGCAGCCTGAACTACAAAGAGTAATTCTTTTATTTATCACAGTCTCACATTCTTCTGTAATGAAAAATATATTGAGGTCACAATATTTCATGGCTTCATTCATACAGGCTTTTTTTGAAAGTTCCATGAAAGACATTAGTCACGATTAAAAAAAGAAACTGAACTGCTGCTTTTTATGTTTTCAGCTGTTGAGCTGTTTCTGTTTCTGTCTTTCATCTCGTACGGTTTGTTGTTTCTGACACTGGACGTTCACACTGAACAACTGATTTTCCTGAGGCACTGTGCTGCTTTGATTCTCAGTGCAGATCAGTGCTGGGGATGTATAGTTTGCACCCGTGATAATGTCAAGAACGAAAACAGATTTTTCTTTCAAGCAATGGAAACGTCCTGCATATGAATTTTTTATAATCTGTAGCGAGGGACAAGATTTGGGCGAGTAAACGTCCTGGTCTCCGTTTCTGGTTTGACCAATCAGCAGACTTTGGGTTCCCGCAGGTAAAAGAGGCGGAACACATGCATCAGCTGTCACCTCATTGATTTATCTGCGTTCATGTGTAGTTAACAAAATGTTGTCTGTAGTTTATCTTTATATTTTTATAGTTTGTGTTTTATGAAGATAAAACTAGTGTGATCAAATTCACCAGTCAGACAGTGCACGGTGAACTATTGGCTACACTGCCCCTCGTGATTTCCATTGGTACTGCACGTTATGTCCGTATCCGTAAGCTTTCAGAAGACGTATACGTACAAAATGAATGCTAAGTACAGACAGAAGGCTCAGTGCGTTTCCGTATCGAACGTTGAACGTAAATAAGCCCTGAGGCTGCAACGTGACAAGTTATACGAAAAGAGTCTTTTTCAAAAGACGTAACCATCGCTGTCAGCAGACGTCTGACTCAAACTATTGGGTGAAAGACCAAAGACTCACCTGAAGAAGAGAGCGTTAGATTTCAGCTCGGTGGCTGTGAAGTCAGTGAGTCGATCTGTGGCTGTGAGTTCATGAGAAGCGGAGTTTCCATCACTGGAGGTGATGCACAGTGTTGACTTGTTGCCGCAGATTGGAGAATGTTTTTAAGATGAAGCTGATGAATCTGATTTATGAAGCGTTCAACCTCCTTAAGGTCATTTGTTTTTCTGCTTTATTGCATTTCACACTTAAAGAAAATCCGCTTGTGAACAACAGCTCCTCTGTTGCTTGTTGTTCATAATTGTCAGACGTGTTGTCGCTGGATGCAAACGTGTGTTTGTGAGCGATTAATCACACACACATCAATGTCATATTTCAAAGGGTTTTCAAATCATGGGAACTGTGATGTTAATTAAATTATCAACAGCATCTAAAAGAAGAATGTGATGAATGTTAGGAGGAATCAAAGTCTCTGAGTTTCTCAAACTACAGAAGAAACTTGTGTTTGTCATCTGGTTGTGGAATTGAAGATGGTTTCTTCAACATTGATTAAAAGAGTCGACTGAAAGAAAACCATAGTTTCTCCTCTTATTTTCACCCAGAAGCTCGGCCATCGTTTGGTGTTGATAGCTGGAAGCTGAAATATGCAGGTTTATTTTTGTTAAGGCTCAATAATGTCTTCTTCAGCTGGAGTCAACATCAGCAGCGCTCTTCTTTAATCAGATCTTAATTGAGTTACTGAAGTGTGTGGACACTTGGGTCGGTTGTTCTTAGTTTTGGGAGTTTTTATTCTGAAGGATTGAAAAATCTTTTCTGTTCTTCCATCTTCGAGTGAACAGTTTGTGTTTGCATCCTTCTTGTTTTAACAGCTTCATAAAGAAACAGTGGGTCGACCTGACTGTCCCTCACAGTGTTGAACCACTCCAAACTTTTTGACTTGTTTGAATCACGTCAATTAATCTGAGTTTAAAGTCTTCAAAACTCTTTTTCTTTCTCAACCTCTTGAACTGCCCTCGTGTCTTTGGCGACCTCACTTTTAACTATGTCTCATCTCTTTCCTTGTCTTTTCTTTTCCCAGTAAAGTTTCCTGAGAGGGTTTTTGTGTCGGTGCGTTGGCCGATTCCATCTTAACCACAGTCTCTGTGGGTCAAACCTTCCTCCTGGTTTCCAGCCCGACTGCACCTCAGGGCAGAACACGTCTTATCGGTCATCGTCCACTGCTCCTTCTTCTTCTTCTTTAATTCTTCCTGCTGTAACAATGTGGCCTGTGTGTCTACGCTGAGCGGCTGCGGTGCCATGTATGGACGTACAGAACGTTACCAGCAGACTGTAGTGACAGAGCCTCCTTGTCTCTCTCGGTCTCTCTCACACTCACTCACAATGGGATTTCAAATATATATATTTCACACTACTCGGTGTTTCATTAACAGTCTCAGATGTTTTTTTCTCGAGGCGGTTCCTCTTCTTGGAATGATCTATAAATTCCTTATAGAAAAACTGTGCAACAACAAAATACTGAGCATCCGTCTGTTTACCTCCATTTGTCTCAGAGATTTAGACGGGCACACAACGATCTTGTTTAATGGAATATAGAAATGTAAATCACAGAAAAATGTAAAGCTTCAAGTGCTTTGACGTGGCCTGGAGCATCGTCGTAGTAACATGTGATGTCAGTGTGATGAGAAGTATCACCACTCGAGATGTTTACAGCAGAGTTCCCATCAACTGGCGGCGTGTTTGTGTGTGAAGGCTCTGTCACTACAGTCTGCTGGTAACGTTCTGTACGTCCATACATGGCACACAGGCCACATTGTTACAGCAGGAAGAATTAAAGAAGAAGAAGAAGAAGAAGGAGCAGCGGGCGATGACCGATAAGACGTCCTCTGCCCTGAGGTGCAGTCGGGCTGGAAACCAGGAGGAAGGTTTGACCCACAGAGACTGTGGTTAAGATGGAATCGGCCAACGCACCGACACAGAAAAACCCTCTTGGGAAACTTTACTGGGAAAAGAAAAGAGGAAGACATAAGTCATCAGTTAGATCTTAAAAGACATGAAGCTGCATCAACAGGAGAGAGAGAGAGAGGGATGATTTCAAACTGAGAACATTAGTTAAACTCTGACTGATTCAAAGAACGTCAGAAAATGATAAATTATAATAAAATCATTTCTCATCCAGAGACACGATCTAAAGCTTATTAAGATAAAATCTATACTGTATTATACTAAACTTTATCTTGACGGCACCTTTCAAAGCTCAGCTCCGATGTGCTGTACGAGTTAAACACATCATGGAATGATAGAAAGACCCTTTGGTTCTCAGTGGGGACTCTGGGGCCTTCATCTGTGACCTCAGCAGGTCATGTGGTATGTAAAGATCTGGAATAACGATCTGAAGAATATGTGGAGTTCTGGAACAGGCCTTAAATGACGATTAGGATCATTGACATCACAATCACATCAAAGGGGCCTTCGCGTGGCCCCTGAGTCTTAAATGACACTGAACGCCATCAATCAGACTGAAAACCAGAATTAGGGTCACTGTCGACGCTGCAGACGGAAAATCTTTAACATTATTACCATTTAAACAAAGTTACGCACAAACACAAAATACCAGAACATGAGAAACAAACGTAAGGTTTGTTAATTGTTTAAATCTGATTAAAGCTAAAATAACAACAAAGCAGATTCCTCTACTTTTGTTGAGTTTCTGAACGTCTTGTTTCACTCAACAAAAAACAACACGATGAGTCTGTGTGTTGAACTCATCGCAAGATTAAATGAAGTTTTAATGGTTTATTGATTTGTATTAGTTTTTAACAGTTAATATTTCCACAGCTCAATAAAAACTAAAATACAGAAAACAGACTTTCACATCCTGATTTTAGTTCCTGATTTTAGTCAAAGGGTTAATCATCGTCCTGTGGAAACGTTCTGTTTAAAATGAAGGAAACGTTCCGAGCAGCGCTGCTTTTCTCCTGAAGGTGAAACGCAAATAAAAAGCTCTGATTTGAATGAGTTCAGTCAAACTGTCGGACACAGAGACAGGAAGTTCTACATGTAGTTGCTCAAAACCACATTCAGTTTGTCGTGAACAGTCGCGGTCACACAGCAAGAAGATGATGAGACACTGACACGTGTGAATAAGAAAATAAAACGTGAGGATTCAAAGCTGTGAGAATAAAAAGTAGAGATGAGACAAGAAAACTAAGATCTGTAACGATTCAGTTCTGAAAGTGTGTCTGAGTTTGACATGTGAAGAAACAAGTGGGCGGGAGTCTTGAGAAACACGTTCAGGAAACTGTCGACTTCCTCGTTCGTCTGAAACAAGCTTTTTTTTTTTAACTGATGTCCACAGCATCACTTTATCACAACGCGTCGAGCAACATGCAACTTTTCAGCGTTGCACAAGTTCGTCTTTTCACTTTTTACAGTTTAGAGACGTTGCATGATGCCAAACATTTCTCTAAAAAAGTGAGAGTGTGATGGAGGTAGTGTTACATTAACATAAAGTCTGAGCTACACATATATTAAAAGTAATATTTTAACATAATTAAGGCTTTTCAGGGCCTATAATTCAGATGTATTTTAGAAACCCTGTTTCTTTTATTTGATCATTTGAATTTAAGTCATTTTAAGGATCTGCAGCAGAACGGTGTAAACCAAAGACTGTGAATCAAAACGAACGACGATCATCAAATAACTAAATATAATTAAAACCAAACTGATCAGAAACATGAACACTTGAACATCAGTGCATAAGAACGACCTAACACGACAGAAACCATCTTTGACAAACATTTAATCGGCTAACATGGAGGAGGCAGGCGTTATGAGCTATACTGCAGCCGGCCACCAGGGGGCTTCGAGGCGGGATTTGGCTTCAGTTTAGGGAGCAGTCGTGTCGTCCATCTTGATTCACAGCCTGAAACTTAAGTGGCTGTTCCAGTTGTTCTTTTGATTTACATACGTCACAGAGAGAACCCAGCACATCAGAGAGAGATCGGATTTCAAACCCACGGTGTTATGGTTCATACGCAGGGGCCCTAGGGCCCGCGGAGCTGGCAGGAGGCCTGACAGAGGCCTGTTTACATGTCATCTGTGCATGTACAGCATGTTCTGTACAGTCTATTAAAACATCCACTGAGCCACGACCACATGATGAAACGTTCCAAGAAACGAGGGACGTCATGTCTCCACACACGAGCAGATCCAGGAAGAAGCTAATGTCTTGTTTTCTTCAGGAGAATAATGGCTCTGGAATTTCTATAAACGGACACTGTTGATCAGACGTGTATTAGAGTCACGCTGGGCTTGAAGTCTGGAACAACCGGAGGATTTCTGTACGTTGTTTCCTGACGCGCTGTCCGACTTCTTATTCCTTCCACTGCTCTTTCATTCGTTCTTTCTGCTGCTCTTCTCTCCATCCTGCTCTGCTCCGTCGTTCAAGCTTGTTCCAGAGAGAAGCGATGGTTAGATGGCGGAGAACAAGACAGATGGAAGTGTCTCACCGACAGGAAGTGACTCAGCCAAGAGACACGAGCCATTTATCAACAAACAATTAGACAATTAGAGGAGATCAATCAAGTCCTGGATGTGATTCATTCACGGAGCAGGGAGGCTCTGTTGTTTTATGGGAAAAGGACTAAATCTGCGTCGCTGATCTGCTCCTTCATTGTCTTTAACGATTAGTTGTTTTGTTCATACAGACCATGACCCTCACAGGTGTTGAAAAGGTCGTGGCAGCATGTTAAGTTTCCCAGCAGCTCCAAGTGAGTTCGTGCCAACTACACCAACGACAGGTTAAAAACGAAAATAAACACTGTTCCTCCATGAATCAAATTTGTTTGTGCCTGAACGTTCCTGAGCTGCTTTGCATCGACTCACGTCACTGATGCAAACCCAACGTTTCCTTTGTGTTGTACTGAAGCTCAGAGATGAACTCAAACAACCTCATCTATACACAATCTATACACACAACTTACTGTCGTTTCAGCAGCGCCAAGAGATCGTCTGAGTTTACTGCACACATGCTCACTGTTAGCAGCTAAATTTAGCATCGCTGCTCCACATTCACAGACGTCGGCCTTGGTTTTTGACAGATTGCTGATGTAGAGTTTAGCGCCACCTACTGGGCCGTTAATCTTGTTCGTTTGTAGTCGTTTTCGTGTTCTCGTCTGGACGGAGATATTTAGTGAAACGGAGGAGAAAATATCAGTCGACAAGAACTTTGTCTGGACGAACACAAACAGACTTTTGTAAACGATGACGCCCACGTTCTCTTCCTGATTGGTTCTTATCAGACACATGACTCAACTACCAGCGGGGGATACAAAGCGTCGCTAACACTTCCTGTCAGTCACAGTTCCACCTCGTCGTCGCTCAGAGAAAAGAAATCCCTGCTCTGACTTTTCACCATCTCTTAAACACATCAATTAAAGGTTAGAAATACTGTAAACAGCAGATGAGGCACATGTGATTCCAATTTCCCGCCAAAGGAACTTACACAGACGTGAGTGAACAGCCAGTTCCAAAGTTCAGGATGATAATATCAGCTCATTTGTTCAAGAGGTCAAACTGAGGAACTACGAACAAACACAAACCGACAGCCTGTGTTTTACTGCACTACGACTTTACACCCTGTCTATGGAGAAGAATGTGTAATCACTGATAAACATGTGGGGACGTGATCCAGACGGAGCTGGAGTCAGATGTAAGAGACGATTCAAACGGATTCAAACGTGCACTTCAGAACATTTCTTTCAAATGCAACAAAAGAAGTTCCTTTGAGTTCATGTCATGAACATGAAGTTCCTTTAAAAATCAATTCATCCTGTTGATACGAAGGTTTTGTTCCAGACGTACTTAGTTAAAAAATGAACTTACAGGTAAATATCTGCAGCTGTAAACTTTACAATCTGGTCCTACTGCCACTGAGTCTGTTTCTATTTCCTGTTTGTGTGATCATATCTATTTCACAATGTGAGTCTAACTGAAACTTTAAACTTCAGCGTGGCTGCAGGCTCCGTTCTGGTAAAACGTGTCCAGCTGCTGATTATTAAGGAACTTCAGTCTGGTGACTG